ATTTATATAACTGGTTGAATATAAGACACTCAAAAAAAATATGAAAACATGGAATTTATAAATTGGTAATTTAGATTGATTATTTATTTAAGTTGCTATGCATGTGAGCATTATATAGAAAACCTTAATTAATTCAGGTTATACTGGTTTTACTCAAGGTTAGATTTAAGATTAATAAAGCAATGCTATTAGAAATTGTTTAGATTAGAAAAATGCTTCTAGCGTTAAAGATTGGTCAAAGTCAGTGCTAGATATATATTTGAATTCTGGGTACATACTAATTTATATTTATTAATGATACAAGCATTAAAGTAATAGGAGTAAGGGTAAGTATTGAATAAATAACATGGAAGATGTGATAACCAGAAGTGCTATTATAAAAAATAAATGGATAATTAAGATTAATAATCGAAAGTAATTAATAGCATGATAATAAAATATAAATTGATCGATTATAAACTAGATTTTGATTTAATTATTATCTTAACGGACGGGTAACCTACAGGTACCCGTGGGTTACCTATAATTTTGAGGGCCAGGTTAGGATATTAAGTTTTAGATCCTGGGCAAGGGTAGGGTTTAAATAAGTCAAGCCCTTATATCAAGGGTAGGGTAAGGATATGCTTACTACCCAGGCCTACCCTGTTCATGCGGAGCCCTAATAGCTGCTATATAATTTTTTATCGAACATAATTTGTCTCGAAAAATAGCTACCATATTAACTTTCACTGAACATAACTGTCTCAGAAGATAGCTGCTATATTGTTCTAAAGTTAGAACATTTTTCTTTGATTACTCTCTTAGACAAGAGAGAACTTTTCTTTTATAGTTTACACTGCTGCTAAACTCCACTACAAAAACATACAAAGTTACCAAAATGCCTATTTAACTGGAACTTACCTCACTGTAGACATGCTTCAAGCAACCAACCCAGATCTATCTTGTCTCTAGTACTATTGGCCTACTCACACTAGTCCTCACTCACTTTTTGAAAAATTTTGGACTTGGTATAGAACTAACTTTCATGCTGAGTATCATACTTCTAAAACTCAGAAAAACTTTGCTCTTCTTACCAACTATCCCAATCAGATTATGCTTCATCTTTGTGTTCGAGATATTATTTTTAGTTGTCATTATCAATCTAATATTTTCAACTCTAGAGAAATTGCTCTAGCACTAGTTCAAAATATACCCAATTTTTACAAGTTCCTATCTTACCTTTTGAACACTAAAATGCTTTTGATCTTCATATTAACACATCCCAAAGTTTTAGTTTTGAAGAACCTAGTCAATTTAGTCAACATTTAGAAGATTTAAAAAGTCCTATTCTACTTCCAACTGAAGAATATAATATAACCCTTACTGCTGATATTCCACTCTTAACTAACCTAGCAGATAGTCTACTCTCTTATAGTGAAATAGCTACTTCTACTGAACACTTTGCTAGTCATTATACTCCTCTTGGTTCACCTCATCAACAGCTTTTTTTAATCAATTTTCTAGTATCTTCTTTACTTATTACTAATAATATTGAGACAAGAGAATATATTACTACTTCTGTGAATCTTACAGAAACCTCTAGCTCAAATTATACTCCTACTGACTCATCATCATTATAGGCTTTTGAAGATAGTCCTTCTTCTTCACCTTTATCTCAACTTGCTCTTTCTCAACTACAACCTATTCTAGTTCAACCTTAACTTATTGTTGCTCAATCTCAATCTCAACTCCTTCCTCCACTCCCACCTATCCTTAACAACCTTCCTGACCCACTTGATAACATGGCTGACCAAGCTTTACAAAATGCAGCTACTGCTATTAATAACTTAGCTATTGCTTTAGAATGTAAAAATGAACAAGCCTTAATGACTATAGAATCTTTCCAAGATGATGGTACTCAAAACCTACTTATCTGGCTTCAAGAATTTTAAAGAGCTGGTATAGCAAACCATTAGAATGCTGTTCATCAATTAAAACTTGCTCCTGTATACATGAAAGGCATTGCTTTAGACTGGTACCAAAGTCTGAACCCTCAGCCTAATATTTACAATGATGATGCTAACCTAAACTGAAGTTTTAAGCATTTATTTAAAGCTCGATTTAGTACTCCTAAACAGAAAGCAGTCTGGCAAAAACAATTATTCGACATCAAACAAGGAACAGACAATGTTGATGCTTATGTAAATAGGTTTAGATCTTTACAAAAGAAAGTAGATCCTGCTATAGCCTTTCCTACTGCCTTTGTTACTTAACTCTTTATTCAAGGATTATGACCAAAATATGCTATCAATGTTCAAGCATCTGAACCAGCAGACTTAGATGCTGCTACCAATGCTGCTCGATGATAAGAAACTGGAAAGCTTATGGCTACTACTATATCTTCAGAAACAAACCAAGCTATTAAGCAATTAACTGACCAAATTGCTCAACTTAGTATTAACCTAGCTCAGTAACAACAACCTGCTTCTACTACTTCTGTAAACTATGCTAAAGCCCTTACCTAAGCACCTCGACTTAAACAACTACCTACTTGTTTTTATTGTAGACATATTGGATATTTTATTTCTAATAGCATTACTAAAAAGAGAAATAGAAAATGAAGACAAGGCTCCTATAATCGAAGACCTATCAGAGATAATTGATGTAATTATTCTTAATCTAGAAGTCAAGATCATCCTCAAAATAGAAGCCAATCTCATGAATGGAACTACTATTCATCAAATTATCAAAAAATAGAAGCTCTGAATGCTCTAGATATCCTTCTAACCAATCTCCTTCTCTATATTATCATGATGTTCACTATCTTAATCAGAATCAGACATTCTCTTCTTCTTTTTCTTTAATTAGTTTACAAAAATAGGAAACCTTGTTAGCCAACCCTTTTATCCATACTGCACTTTCTGTACATTTAAGTGAAGAAGCTAAGAATGCTAATATTATTATATCTTCTACCCACACTACACCTGTTAAATGCAATATCCAACTTAGAAACAGACTTTACCAAGCTATTATTAATAGTAGTGCTTCTGTAAGTATGATTGCTTACAAGGTAGTTAAAAAATTAGGATTAAAAATCAAACAAGCCTTTTCTAGTCTTATCATATCAGCTACTGGTAATTCTACTAGACCTCTAGGAGTTATTTGAGATCTACCTATTACTATAGACCAAATTACTATTCCTGTTACTGTTAAAGTAGTAGATGTTACTTCATATTTTATTCTTCTTGGCAATAACTGGTCCAAGAAAGTTGAAGCTAGTTATAATTGGAAAAATGGATGCTATTTCTTTAAGTGAAAAGGTAAAAAGCATGCCATTCCTACTACCTATAAGAATGACCAACTGCTCCTAGCTCAACCTATTGTTACTAATCCTAAGGAGCTTGAGCTTTATGAACAGGAATATTTTATACTCTTAGAAGCATATGCTCTTAATACTGAACCTGCTAAACTATCTTGTAACAATATTCAGAAGAATGGACTGTTTACCAACCCAAGCATAGAACCAGACAACCTAAAGCACTTGTGTGTGGAAACTGTAGATCACCAAATCATCTTTTTGCACAATGTCCTACCAACCTTTGTAATCGTTGCCAACAACCTGAACATATCACCACTTACTGTCCTCAACAACCACCAAAAAGAGCCAGCTGTCATACTTGCAATCAACCTGACCATCTCTATAGAGCCTGTCTACAAAATATTTGTAACTTATGCAACAGTTATGGACATATTAGCATTGATTGTCCTTTAGCTGACCTTCGAAAACAAAACCATTCGTATAAGTGTAGCTGTAACTCTGAAATAGTAGAATCCTAAAGACTACCCCATTATAGTCATAGATGTACTCACCACTACTACCAATGCTATGTTTCAGAAAGATCTGAGTTTCTAAGAGCTTTTAACAATCAACTCTTCTGTTATGCTTATTTTCACTATGCCCTTGATCGAGAAGACCCTCGAAGTGTTCATTTTTATACACAAGGAAAAGGTTGTAGACTACTTGTAAAGTGTAAAGTATACCAAAAAGCAGAACTTTATTTTTGAATATACCAACTAGAAAGCCTTAGTAAAGAATTTTGGTTTTGTGAGCTTAAGCACTTATATGCTTATAAAGCCAGTCAGGATGTTCTTTATAATCCCAACTACAACTTATAGACAAGAATTAGACATTACACAGAATCTAACTGAAGTGCCAGATCACAATATAACCTAAACCAGACTCATATATTGCTTTGCTGCTGTTCTTCTCTAGAAAAGTGACCATACTATTATTGAAGCTCTTGAACCTCAAGTTGATGATTATTTTAGCCAACTTTGGTCTAATGATAACATGGAACTAGTATTATAAGAAGAACAAGAAACTCTTGAAGAGAATGATGAACTTCTTCTTCAACAAATGTTAAATGAGTCCTTTGATACTAGCCATTATGAATATAATCATCAATTTACTCTTGCTACCTTACATCACAATTTTAGTACCTCTGTTGACTTTTGTAAAGAATGCTTACATGTTAAGCATCAAAAAGAACTAGACCAACATGAAGAATACTGTAATGATTGTGATACTGCATTAGCACATTCATCAAATACCGAACTTACTTCAGAACCAAACCCTATTTATATTGAACCTCTTACTAAGATGCAACTTTAGTTGGATCAACAAGCTCAACTTATCCAACAATTGCAAACACAGGTTCAATCTCTGCAAGACACCAATGTGCAAATTCTACAATTCTTTCAAAACCATTTTCAACATATAAGACAACAAGAAAATGTCCTTGAAACTCTTTTGAGACCTCAAAATTTTTAGAAAATTCTAGACAAGATGAAAAACTACCTGATAACCTAGACACACCTGAAACAAATCCTAGCAATCTTATACCTCAAATGATGTGTTCTATTGAGACCTATATTCCTTATAAAAAATACATCTTGATCTCTAAAACAGCTGTAAATATTGGACCCTTACAACCAGAATAAGAACAAAAATTTAGAAAATTACTAGAAAAATTTTCAGACCTTTTTGCATCAAATATAACTGAATTAGATCATACTAATTTGGTTACTCACAAAATCTATACTGAAGAGGTTCCTCCTATTTGATTATACCCTTATTCAATGCCACCTACAGAACAGACATTTATAAAAAAAAAAATACAATGAATGCTTGATAATAAACTTATTAGACCTTCTAGTAGCCCCTAGACTTCACTTGTTGTATTAGTACAAAAGAAAAATAAGAAATTACATTTCTGTATAGACTACAGAAAACTTAATGCTGTTATGAAAAAGGATGCATATCCTTTATCTTGAATAGATAAAATGCTAAATGCACTTGCTGGATCAATGTAGTTCTCTACCCTAGATCTTGCTAGTAGATATTGGCAAGTTGATATGAATCCTAAAGACCAAGAAAAGATGCTTTTATTACTCGATATGGTATTTACAAATTTAATGTAATGCCTTTTGGACTTTGCAATGCTCCAGCAACCTTCCAAAGATTGATGGACCAAGTTTATGATAAAATTGCATGAAAATTTGTAGTGGTATACTTAGATGACACTATTGTCTACTCAAGAACATTCAATGAGCATTTTGAACATTTATGGAAAGTCTTTACTAGAATTTGAAAGACCAGATTATATCTTAATATTAAAAAATATAATTTTTGGATGCAGAGCCTATCCTTCTTAGACCATATTATATTCAAAAATAGAATTGCTTCAGATCTTCAAAAAATAGAAACTGTTCATAATATACAACTTTCTAAAAATATAACTCAACTTAGATCTTTCTTAGGACTTGCTAGATATTACAGACAATTTATTCAAAACTTTTCAAACATAGCCAGACCTCTTAATCATTTAATGAAAAAGGATACTGCATACGAATGGCACTATAAACAACAAAAAGCCTTCAATGAATTAAAAAGATGACTAACCATTACTCTTATTCTAGCTTATCTTGATTTCAAGTACCCTTTCATATTAGCAACTGATGCTTCTTATTATGGTTTTGGTGCTACACTTAGCCAAATAGGAAAAAATAAAAAAGAACATCCTATTGCTTATACAAGTAAAAGCCTTCGAAAAGAAGAAATGAATTATGGTGCTACTGAATTGGAATGTGCTCCCATAGTTTAGGCAATCGAACATTTTCATAAATATTTAGGAACTGCAATATTTATCCTTATTACTGACCATTATGCTCTTAAATAGTTAAGGACAGCTGAACCTAAAGAATGAATTAAAGATGAATACTTAAATTACAACCTTATAATTTTAAAATTATTTATAAACCAGGCCAAGTTCATTCCAATGTAGATGCACTTTCAAGGCTGCTGACTTAGACATTACCAATAACATTCCAATGAATTTAGATGAATATATTAACTTATATAACTATTTAGAATCAGACATAAAGAATTGACAGACATAGAAGAAAAACAACTAATTCGACAAGCCAGATATTTCAAAAAAAAGCATAGACTATTATATAAAAAAAATAGAAAAGACCCTACTCATCCCCTTAGAGTTATTAAATGGACTAAAGTAGAACCTATCCTATATATAATGCATAAACATTCTACTGCTGGATATTTAAGAACAGATGCCATATACTATAAGATTGCTGAATGATATTATTGGGACCAAATGTATAGAGATGTACAAGAATATGTTTATACTTGTACAGAATATCAACAATGTCAAAAAGGATGAAAAAAGGAACCTCTTCATCCTATTCAAATAGGATGAGCCTTTGAATGAATTGGTATTGATTTAGTAGGACCTTTCTCTCTTACTAAACAAAATAATCACTATATAATTGTTGCTACTAAATACCTAACATGATGGCCAGAAGCCTAAGCTATGCCTAATGCTGGTGCTGCTACACTAGTGCAATTTATTTTTGAAGAAATAGTTTGTAGACATAAAACCCCAAAAATTATTTTATCTGACCAAGAACAAAATTTTATTAGTAAAACTATCTGCATATTATGTGAAAAGTTCCTAATTAAACATAAATTCTTATTATCATACCATTCACAAACAAATAGCATGGTTGAAAGATTTAACCAAATACTCTGTAAATCACTTGCTAAAATGAAAGGAACAGATGATTAGGATATTCATATTTCTGCTGTATTATTGGTATATCGAACAAAGAAGCATACTACTACTAGATATACTCCATTTTAACTTATTTATAGTCAACAAGCTACACTGCTAATTGAAGCTTTAATACCTGTTGAACCATTACCAGAAAGTAGCAAAGATATTAACTTACAAGACAGTATTCTACATAGAGCTTATGAGCTAATAGACAAATTGCTCCAATGGCAAGAGAATGCAAGAAACAATACTAATAAGTCATAACAGAAACAGAAACAATACTTCGATACAAAAGTCAAGGTACAAAAATTCGAAGTAGGTGACAAAGTATGGATCTAATGGAAGGAACTAGAAATGTCAAGATCAGCAAAATTTGAAAATAAACAACTAGGACCATTTATAATTCATAAGAAATTAGAAAATAGTGCTTATAAGTTATGAAATAAAAAAGGAAAAATCTTACAAAACTATTACAATAGTGATTGCTTAGCAAAATATTATGAGAAACAGACTTGAAAACTAATAGTTGTTGTTGAAACTTAGCAAATTTCTGGAAGAAATTTAATTTGAAAGAGAGTGACATAATGAAAAACATTTTAAAGATCTCATATTACTTTAAAAATA